GGTGGAACCGCGGCCAAACAGCTCCTCTGAATCTCCTTCTGTCCGCGAGCATCCTTCACCGCGGTTCTGCCGCGGTCGCGGTGGAACCGCGGCAGAGTCATTTTTCTGATTCTTCAGCCTGTTTTTGCGTGGTTCACTTGGGATATTTCACGGTTGTCCTCTCTTTCTTCATTTTTTTGACTCCAAAAGTGCTCCCTAGCCTTCCCTAGTCATATATAACCTGCAAATCATGAAAAGCACTAATAAGAGCATTTTGTTATCACTTTTATTATTAAAACTATGCAAGAATGCGGTTATTTAGGGCCTGAATATAGTTAAATTCACCTATTATCAGTGGTTAATATGACTCTTATCCATATTGAAAATCGAACTGCTAATTATAAACAATCCAATTTTTGCAATTACTCCAACCAAACATGTGTCACAAAATTATACTTCCTCCGGTCCACAATAAATGACCAGTTTACTTTAGGCACGCCCATTAATAAAATACTAAATTCTATATAAAAATACCTAGTATGACTAAACTATCCTTAATTAAATATTGATCACATAGTTATAGTGGCATTTACTTCTCTTCTCAAATCACTACGTTATTCAAAATAAAATTTGAAACTTTTGCTTAAATTTTATGAACGTCTTTGAAAAAACAAATTGGAGCCAATTTTTTCAATTTTTGCCACCAAAACTATCTTATAAAAGGAAGTTCAATTTCTAGGTTATTGTTAAACATGGCTAAAATGGAAAAACACCAAATTTCTCCACTTCAAATTGATCTAAACATTCCTTTGGAATTTGAGGATGAGCATGTTGGTGGAGAACAACTACCTGATCTTAATGAAGTCATCAACTTTGATTTCCTTCAAGTCTTGAATTGTTTCAAGTTGTTCCTCAACTTTGATATCCATGGAGAATGACTTCTCAATTGCTGAAGTAGTTGTTCTCGAGTCTTTGAATGACTTTTCAGTTGCTGCTATTTAATTTTAATAATTTAATGTGAGGAGTGAAAAAACTTTTTAGAAATATGCACATAAGGTAAAGATTAAAACAAATTGAATTTTTTTTTGATTACATAAACGGACACTTATTTTGGACCAAAATAAAAAAGTAAACTGATCAGTTATTATGGACCGGAGGGAGTATTGACTTTCTTTCTTGGGCCGTCCTAAATTGAACGCTATACTGCTTTTAATGTTTCAAGCCTTAAATGATTCAATAAAGCAAAGAGATTAGTGTTAGGTTGAATTAGTTCAAATGTCTAATTTCTCAACGTTAAAGTCATAATAACTCTAGAATGTGTGAGTTTCTATTTCACCCTATTAAACTAAGGATGGATTTCATGAAAGGTTACCTACTCATATCCTTTTTGGGGAATAAAACCATCAATATATTACTCGTAGTTTCAGAAGTAAAACGCAACTCATCTAGAATTTAACGAGCCCCTTGTGTTAAATGAATAGTACTAATATTAATAACTTGTTTGGCCAAGCTTTTCTCGATCAAAAATATTTTTTTTTAAATNCCAAAAAAAAAGCACTTTTTTGAAAATCACTTTTGAGAAAAATGCATTTAGAATCACACATTTTAAAAGCTTGATCAAACACTAATTACTGCTCAAAAGTGCTTTTTAAATTAATTCGCCAAACACAAACTGCTTCTCACCAAAAATATTTTTTCGAAAATCACTTTTAAGAAAATACTTTTCAAAATAAACTTATTTTAGAAGACTATGTCGCCACTTGTGGTTTTGTATTTGGAAGTGGCCACTTATTAAGATTTAGACCCATGATATTATGGGAAAAGATCACTTTAACTTCGGTCGAAATTATTTACGTTCGGTAGCCATAAAATATTTAAAATTTATATATTTTTTGTATATATATTCGATTATTATCTTAAAAGCAGCTATACAATATCATTTTCCCATGAATATTGGATTTGAATTTCGAACTTCAGATCATTGGTCTAATTGTTAAAAAGTGGCAAACTTCTAAATAAAAAGCCACAAAACTTGCTAATTGTGTAAATCCACCTAATATTGAGCTCATACCCGATGTACCCCAAAAGGTGGGGGAAGTGCACGGTTGGCCACTAATAACACATGTATTTACTTTTAAGCCACCGTTTAAAATGTCATTAGTCTTTAGCCATTGCTTTAATAAACTTTAACTGCCCGGACGAAAATACCCTCCTGCTCATGTCCTTAACTTCAGGACTACATGTCCTTAACTTTTGAACTTGGAACTCTAAGTTCAGGACTTCACAACTACATGTCCTTAACTTTTGAACTTGTAACTCTAAGTTCAAAACTACATGTCCTTAACTTTTGAACTTTGAACTCTAAGTTCAGGACTTCAAGACTACATGTCCTTAACTTTTGAACTTGGAACTCAAACTTCAAGACCAAGCGTCCTTAACTTTTGAACTTGTAAGTCAAAGTTAAGAACCTATTGTCCTTAACTTTTGAACTTGTAATTGTAAGTTAAGGACTGCTTGTCCTTAAATTTTGAACGTGTAACTATAAGTTAAGGATTGTGTGTCCTTAACTTTTGAACTTGGAAATCAATGTTAAGGACTTATTGTCCTTAGCTTTTGAACTTGTAACTGTAAGTTAAGGACTGCATGTCCTTAACTTTTGAACTTGTAACTGTAAGTTAAGGACTGTCTGTCCTTAACTTTAGAACTAGTAACTGTAAGTTAAGGACTGTCCGTCCTTAACTTTTGAATTTGTGTCATTAACTATTGAACTTAACTTTAGGGCTTCAAGACTACA